GAAAATCAAGATGATTCAGCAGAAAATCTCATTGATTTAGGGTTATGATTATAACTGACAACATAGCTGTTGTAACTCAAAATAAATGAATAAATGATTCAATATTGTGTGAATGAGAATCGTTGTTTTAACAGCTCGTGTGTCTGCTCACACACAGCTCTACAAATACAAATACTGCACTAATCGGATCTAATCCTTTTACCTCGAACAGAAACTAACGTATTTAATCAGCCTCGATGTTCTGAGTTTTATTGTCCTAAAACTAAACGCTGTGATGTTTTATCGAACGTCTGAGCCTCAAAAGTCCAGATTCTCTCCACTGGACTGACTTTACAGGAAACCATGTGATGAATACGACATGAAGGCCGCTGTTAGAAGGAGACGAAACCCTCAAAGAACCCGGACTCACTTTCACGCCATAATTCATCGTCGCCACACAGCGGTATTGCTTCGCCTCACTTGACCGGTTTGTGAGTGGATTCTCCGGCTGCGAGCTCTTCAAGCGTCCTCCTCACACTTCTGTGTCGAAGGTAGAACGCGGATCAATAACACATTTCATGCTCTCTGGTGGCGCTGACACGACGCAGAGGTGAAGTCACACGACTGAAGAAGAGAAGCTTCCATGTCTTGGGCGTCTGATCGTCCTGCCGGGCGATACAAAGACGGTTATGAAGCCGATTAAACTCGTTCTCTTCTTGTTTTCATGAAAACATCTCGTCTGTGACGACCGTTAACACCGCTGACCTCTGACCCCGTCATCGTCATATGTCACCAATCAGATGAGGCTATGGATTGTTACAGCGCGTCTCGACCTGGAGGTCAACGGGAGGCGTCACCTCCATCTGAGGAGCTGACCTCCTCTTTAGTTGAGCCTCCGGTCTTAACGCGACACGATTAGTTTCACCTTGAAGCCACAAACGAGCAAGATGCTCTTCATGACTGAGGGTCAGTTTGAAACCGCAACGAATAGTTGATGAATCTGAGAATCTGGAGTCAGATGAGAAGACGGATATCAGTTTTATTAATGATCTAGGATGTGTTTAGCCTAGCTTAGCACAAAGACTGGAAGCAGGTGGAAACTGTTAGCCTCCCTAAGCGTGCTAGAATTCTCACAATGACGGATCTATTATCTGTAAACAAATCCCAAGAACTCCAAGGGTCGTTCTCCTTTCCTCGGCTCCTCGTCTCCTCGCCTCCTCACCTCCTCGCCTCGCGTCTTAGAGGAAGAGACGAGAAGAGAGAGGATACATATATATATATATATATATATATATATATATATATATATATATGTATATATAAAACCAGAGTTATACTTTAATTGTGATCTGACCAGTAGCCTCAGATTTTGTACAGAATTATCTTGATTTTGTATTCAACTTTTCAGTGGTTTTCTTTATGAACCTAACTGGTAACACTATAATGTAAACAATATGCATATAAATTGATACTGTATTTTGCACCATTGATTTTCTTTATATATATTTTAGCTTTTTTAGGTGAGTTTTTGTTACATGAGCCTTTCTTCCTCATCTGTATTCTATTTCTATTTAATGTTTCTCTGTCTCAACTTTCCTTTATTAAAGAATAAAACATGAAACATGAAAAAAACACATGTTTGAGTAACAGATATTTCCACAGCTCAAAGCCACCAGTTAATTTGCTCATTCATCTTCAGACGCAGGAAGTTCTGGTCCAAAGCTGATGATGTAAAACACAGAATGCTTTCAGTCTCACCTGTCGGACGGGAACAGATTGCATCATTTTTCCCGACGCCGTCTCCTGGAATCAAGAACCGACTCCTTTAGTCGATAAAGAAAACTGACTTTTATTAGATGGAGCTGAACGGTGAGATCTTTTTTCCCTGTATGACTTAACAGAAAAGAAACAGCAGGTGAAAGATGAGAATGAAGGTTCATAAACTGGAGGGGAATATTGCATTGGAGGACGATGGAATAGTTTAGACCCTCACATCTCTTCTTTGTACTCTGAGTCTCTGAAAGGTTCAATCTGAGCAGAATACATTAAAGCAGCTGTGTTTCTGTCTCCTCTCGGTGTCTCCTGAGGACGTCACCCCGAGAGAGGTCGTCTGCTGCAGCTCCACATTTAAATCAGAGTGTAAATCTGCAGGAGGAGGGATGTGACGAGCCCCCCCCCCACCTCCTTATTTTTAAGATCTTAATCTGTGCGAGTTGGAAGACGCTTTACAAACTGTTTGCAGAGCGACCGTCCGTCAATCTCTCCGTGCCGACGAAAAGTGACATCTCTGTTGGTTTAGTTGCCTATAGCTAACTGTTGGTTTAGTTGCTTAAACCTAACTGTTGGTTTAGTTGCT